CTAAGATTAATGGATTTGTAATTGTAGACCCAAGATAAATTTGTTGAAAAACAATTCTCCGCTCTAATTATTTTTGCTTTGAATAAATTAGTGAGGATATTTGAAATTCATAATATAACTGGGAAAATCAAAAATTGTGTTCTGTAGTTTATATCAGTGCAATCTTTTACATACAATAGAAAGTGGCATCAAATTAAAGTCCTGGTATCATAGAAGATAATTAATGTAAATATGTTTGTTAAGCTTGACCAATGCGGTAGCTACTAAATGATTAATTACTAACTTGAAGAAACAGTTGTACTATTATTTTCTTTAAGTAAGGCTGGTTACATGTATTTTTGCGACATCATAACTTTTAGAACAAATATAATTACTTTTGTCGCGCACTTTTGACCATTATTGTATGACTTGTTGGCATTTTATGTGCTTAGTACAGATGATTTAACTCTTAGAAATTTTATTTGTTAAATGTCTTCATTATTTTTTATATACCTGTTTTTTATATCTCACAAATTAACTCCGTCTTTCTACAACTGTTGCAAATCTCTTCATCCAGTGATTTCACCTCTAAGTTACATAATATCCGTGTTATCCATTTAGACCAACAACTATTAAAGTAATTCATTGAACTATGAAGACACTTTATTTACGTTATGGGAAGTGCATACTGAGCCGACAAGAAAAAGTGTTGTCCCATAATCCTGTCTTTCCTGCTGTTGACATCCTCCGTACTATGCCTGCCAAGCAGGAGAATCGTGTGATAAGAGATACCACGCTGTTAAAGGGAAGGTGTACTTGAAATGTCTGTCAGTAACATTGCGTTATATGAGTTAATTAGTTGACTAAAGCGTTGTATTGTGTTGAAGTATTCATCGAAATTAAGTGTAGACGGTTACTAAGGGAACTTTTCACTGTTGAAGTAGTTAAGTAACGTTGTTTTAAAGGTAGTTTATAGTGTTGTTGGGGCACAGTGGTTAGGACTCTCGCCGACCATCCACATGGACCGAGGTTCGATCCCCTGCCGACGCACACCTGATATCTATGGTCGGCCTGCAAAATTTGGGCTACCGATATCCATGCTGAAAATTCCATACTTGTACCAAAAATGCAGTGTGGAATCAAGCTGTAATCAAAAATAAAAAAAATCAATCAAAATCAAATTAGTCCAGACGAAAAATTCATAGCTGAAAGAGCTGTTAACTTATCAGGTAAATGGGTTTCAGTCAACTGGAAAACAAAGATAGAGGGTCAGTCCAATGGAACGTTCACATAAGAATGACTTATAAAAAGCTAATATTATCTGAACTACAAATACCAAAATTAGATGTTCAGGGGTTAGTATGACAACAAAAGTTGCAAAAATCTCAAACGTGCGACATTAGACCAAACAAAAATAAATAAGTCATTTAAGTTAAATAGACATGTTATGTAAAGACTAATAGAAAATATGTGAAATCGGTTACAAGAAACATCTTGTACTAACATCGGTTAGAGAACCAGTGGAAGACCTGGGAGTACTGGACAGCTGTTCATATTGTCCTAGTTTTGAACTCTTCATAAGTATGCACCCACCACCAGAGTTTGAGTTCAGGGCCTTCTGGTGACTAGGTGAGCTCGTAGACCATTAAGCCACTGGGACACGATCCAGTGGCTCATGAATTCCAACTTCTGTCAATTCACGATATAGCGTGACCACTAGCCAATATCTTCGGCCACAGTTTGTTCTCATACCCGACCTGATGTACCCTAGTGGTCACGGCATCTCACTAGAACCACACGTAACCAACCATCTAAATAGGGCCAGTCACTAGTGAGCATCCCGATGATATTCAAGTAGTGGTTTAAACAGATTTGATTGATTGGTTAAAAGATTGTATCATTAGCTGACATCGGTTAGAGAACCAATGGAAAACCTGGGAGTTCTGAATCGTGTCTCAGTGGCCTAATAGTCTGTGACCTTGCCCTGTTACCAGAAAGTCATCAGTTCGAACCTTGGTGTTGGATACATACTTATGAAGAGTCCCAAACTAGGACGATGTGAACAGTTGTCCACTACTCCAGTACTTCCATTGGTTCTCTAACCAATGTTAGTTCATGATAGAATCCTGTAATTAATCAATCAAATCTCTACCAACCAATACTTGAATATACGAAATTGTCGACTCCTAATAATAATAAGCTTTATTCCAAAACAGTATTTTTGAATACAGAATGGAATTCTCAGCATTTTACTACAGTATCGCATCCAGTTAGTACATTATCAGTAGAGAAAATTCTCCATAGATTAAGGAAATCTCAGTTCATTATGACAACAACTTATTAGCATGTCGGTAGCAAAGGCAAAATTGAACAGTGTTTAAAGGTGTTAGAAAAGTAGATGCTTGCATATTTACTGGCGTAAGCGGAAGAAACAAACAAAGCAGCACATAACAGAAAAGTGAGAGAGAAAAGGAAAAGCAAGAAAGAAAACGTTGTACCTATAAATGATATGAGTTGGAAAGACGAGGTCAAACTGTTCTACTGACTATTTAATAAGCTGTAGGTACCACGCCTATCCTAGACCGATAACAAACTGTAAATCGACTGAATTCAAATATCATGAGACAAAAAAACTGCCAAGTCACAAGTATTAAAATTACCTTGACAGTTAAATAATAGTAAATTGTGTCCACTTCATAATTATCAACATAGTAATAGACACCAGTACATAATAGTTCTTGTGTATTACACTAAGTCAATAAAAATCATAAATCTAAATCATGCTGGCTGTTCATAAAATTCGGTAGTTATCTGTATTATAAGCCTTTGCAGCAAGAGTAAGGATACGTTTATTTTTTATATTTCTTGTTATGTTTATTGTTAAAAGAGGAAAATAACTAAAATATCAGAGATATTTTAGCAAAGATGCATATACGAAGGCCACAATCTTCAACTGAATTCTTATAACATTCAACAAATCAGCTAGAACTCTTTCTAACTGACGCAAACCAGTCATTTTTGAAACTTTAACCCTACTAGACATAGATTTGGTTAATTAAATTCTCAGAATTACTAAACGTATTAGGAGCCCTTCCACTGTAAAATCATGACTCTAAGAATTTAATCTTAGAAGGAAAAGATGAAAAAGGTTAGCAAACTTATCAAACATTTGATATATATATCTACAGAAAAGTAAAATATTATTAGTAAATTATTTGCTTTATTCCAAAACAGTACTCATGATACAATGTAGAATTCTCAGCCTCCCGTATAGTATTACATCTAATTTAATTAACTACATCAAAACAAATATATCACATGGTACAGGTACTCAGTTTATATCAAAGAAATCTTATTTAATATAAGACATATAGGTGAAGAGTCAAAAGTCGATGGGTAGTCAAGAAAGGTACATCGAAGATGTTTGGCCCCATTGTCTAAGCAGAAACAATATTATGACTTAAGATAGTAGCGGCACCTAAATTACTTCTGTCCCATCCATACACAGGCTGTTTAGGGTCAGCAGGACTTTTAAAGAAAGGTTCAGGGTTGAGGAAAAGTAGTTTCTCCATTAATGTCGAAATAGGCGAAGTAATAACACTAAGTCTAAATTTAACATTCATACCAGAGCATAATTTAGGAACCGGGATAATTTTAATGTCTTTCGAAGCTTCGGGTACAACACTGCTGGAAAAAGAAGCACTGAAAATGTTCTTAAGAGGATAACGTAAAATATCAACAAATCTTCTGAGGACAACAGCAGGAGCACCATCAGGACTAAGGCTGTGAGAAGGTCTCGCAGATTTGAGACATTTGAGAATATCAAGAGTGTTAAAACCATGAGAGTTACTAATCTTATGATCTGCATCAGTAGGATTGATATCGTCAGCCTGAGAGTGTATGAAAAACTTGTTAATAGGGAATAGCAGCACTTTGCTTATTAACTCCAGTAATCTCATTAAAATGTTTCCAAATGCTTGAAGAAGTATTACAGGATAAAAATCTTTGGCCATAAACAACAATCAAACCTTGAACTTCAGATTGGATTAGACCGTTAATCCCTTACAGACCAGGTTTATCTTTCGATTTGTATGACCATTCTTTTTCAATCCGTAGCTTTTTGAAAAGAGGAGAAAACAAGCTATCAAATCTTTTGAATAGTATTTGTTTTGGCCAATATATGTCCATGCAGAATTTAAGACAGTCAGTTATGTTGGTGATTGTGTCATAAAGTGTTTGCTCAGTTAACAGATCCCAGTTAGTGTCCTACAACATGCATCTAAGATTATATATATATTGTTCTATGAGTAACATCTCCTTTACGTTTTCCTGGAAAGATGAGGATATACACTTGTGTATAACTAGCCACATATTTTTGGCAACACTCGAATCATAGAATGGCCAAGGGTCAGTATTGGAGCAAGTTTAGGCGCTTCACATATTCCATCATCATTTATTATTATTATATCCTTTAATTCCTAGAGGAACATAGGGCTTTAGCTGCGCATCTCCATTGCCTTCTGTTTTCTGCCAACTTTTTCACTTTTTCAGCCTTAATTGAATACTGAGTAACTTTATTAGCATAAATGAAAACGTTTCATTCGAATGAATGATTCATTTTGCAATAAGCTTGCTGCATCTCTAGTGAAAATCAGATCAACTACTGGAGCTTGTGTGTGCTATCATTAATATCACGTGTCTACACAGAAATTTATTTATTACCAGGTTCAATAAAGCGTAGAGATTAATCTTTAGGTTAACAGAATTCTGGTTATCTCATTTTACAGTGCTAACAGTTCCCAGTTTCACACTTAATTAATCTACTCAATCAAGACTAAATTCTCCAAAACCTTGAAATTATTATATTTCATTCACTAACTGCATGTGATTTTTATCGGTAATGTGTTTATTTTAAACCGCCCACTCATTATCCATTGATAAATGGAATAGATGACCTTGTAAGTGGAAAAGAAACATGACAATATTAATTTATTAATATTAGTTCGAAAGCTGTGGAAGTAGCGTTATTCGGACGTTTAGTGTGGTTCATTTTTATGTAGAATGCCAGAAAATAGTGGGGCAGAGAATGTAAAGTAACGTGGAAATACAGTAAAAGAGCTGAGCTCAACATTCTTATTTCTTCTTCCTAAAGAGACAACTATGATACTATTTTCATTGAAAATGAAATGTTTGATAGTTATGCAAGGCGTTTCAATGTGTTCACTGAAATAATAGAGCCAGGTAATGGAGAAAATAATGCGAAATAATATTAAATTATACAATGAAATAATTAATGCGACTAGGTTACTATTTCATACTTTTATATTTAATTTAGTATTTAATGGACCAGCAAATTTTCGAGAACGAAAACCGGGGCAATAAACTGATCATCCAAAATATATTTTGAGATCAGATGTCTGTCTAGCTAATTAAAGGGTGTTCATGAACAACCAAACTTGATACTTGACCGAGCACCTCCAGCTTAACCATTTGACATAAACATTCAAGGTCAGAATTTAGTATTGAGTGATAAAATCAGTCGGCTGATAATTTTAGGAATTTATTTACGCTACCCAGCCATTTTATCCCTAAGTCTATGTGTCACTATATACACAAGTGTATAAAAGAATAAGCCAAAGATGGCCAGATATGATGACAGTATTCTGCAAGCACAATATCTATTGTGTTTACCATAAAAAATATTTTGTATCTGTGAGTAGACTACTAAAATATTCCCTTTTGTCTTCCCTTCATAGATCCAACTCCGAAACATGGAATTAAACATATACCACAAAAGTCACTGTATGCTGACACCACACGATTTCGACGACTGACAACGAAACAGAAATGTCTGATTGCACATGTTGAACTAGAAGAGTTTAAAAACACAATAAATAGGGCAAAGGATCAACTAGAATCAGAGTTATTACAGTATACGGTGAATATATGCTTCATTGGTCTATATTTATTTATTTATTGAATTAAAGTCAGTTCTAGAAACATTTAATCTTGATCTAAAAGACATTGAAAGTCGCAGGTGTGCGCTGAAGACGGTTATGCGTAAAGGATACTGTTTACGTTTGGGCACGTATACAGCTGAAGCCTTAATACAAAACCATGAGAAGAATATGATAAATATGGTGAGTTGTTGCTTAAATGACAGTTTTATCCATAATGCTTTTGGCAAAATGTGTTATGATTCATTCACTAAAATTATTCAGGGAGATAACACCAGTCCCTGTGAGGTTGCAGATGCACCCTTCTGACTAGTGCCAGTAAGTGTGGGCCCCAGGCCTATGGCTTATTTCCAACCATTTAGCATAATTTCAAAGTGTACTAAAGCGCTGAGTCATCTAGCTTATTGAAGACATTGCAAACTCGAATGATGGGACTTAGTTAGCACTAAAACTAAGGTCCATATCTGTGAAACTGGTTACCATCTATTGATTAATCGATATACAGCTGAATTCATAAGTACATACTTCAGATTAATTTAGGAGACGGTAGAGTTGTTCCATTTCATATCATAGTTTCGCTGCCCTGGAGAGACATGATGCTGTCCAAATACCTGACCTAGATTGTGACGGAGTAGTCCTGTTTATTTTTCAAAGTCCATCGTAAAACATAACATGGAATTCGTGAAGATGAAACGGACGTCTTTTGGCTTTTCATTATTCCAGATTATCAAAGAAAAAGGGATTAATAGCATGATAAATATTGCGAATCAAAATTCCTTGCTTTTCGGTTCAGTTATCATGTAAACTTCGAGAATACGGTTGAAGATCTTAATTCGGGGAAGCAAACACGCTTCCTATTGGGGCGAAATATACATTCTGTTTGAAGTTATTTGTTTGACTAAATAGATCCTTAAGAAGAAGGATGTTGGAATTCTCTCGTGCATTTTCATCTCTGTTTATGAGTTAAGCCGTAGTTGTGAATGTACATAAAATTCAAGTATCTGCAAAGCCCTTATTTGTTCAGCTTCCTGATGATACATATATTTAGAAAGAAGTTAGCTGGACGTTCACTAGAGCATTACAGTGAAATTCACCCAATGTAGAAGAAAACAGTATTCAGTCATTTAATTAATTGTCATCAAAAAGCACATGCATAATAACATACCACGCAATCAAAATCTGACTGTAGATAAATCTAGCTAACTCCCACCATGTGACTCGCTTGTTCGAACTCGAATGCCTAGTCTAAAGCGATTAGTAACCCACGGCTACACTCTGCTGCCTCTACACTAATGAAGACAGTAAATATCTAGACTATAGATACCGCGAATCCCCTGTAGTGATTTGAGCACTACAGTCAGGCTGAATCAGTATGAAATTATTTACAATAATCCCAGAATGCTTAGAAAATCGTAACAGGTTTGTCGCCCCGTAAGCCACAGCCTCTTCAACAGAATTACTTGGATCCGAGTAGAATCTGTCTTCGATTTTCTAAACACTCTTGGATTATTTGACTGGTGAAGACAATTTATAGTCTATAGCCAATAGTTTCTTAAGGACATTTGGTGTCTGTAGCCTCATTCAAACTGTTCCATATATAAGGACTGATTTATATGGGCTCCAACCATGACGTCGAATGAAAGATGCTTAAATGTAAGCTGAATTGAAGCGTGACAAACATGAACACTGTAGTGTAACGAAAGCGATGAGAATTGACCAGGTATCACTATGTGTTGCACTCATCAGCTATTTAGGCGTATAAAGGAGATAGGTAGTGAAGATTCTATATGAAGTGGAAATATGTTTGAGAATGATTTGATCATAGTGATGATTCTTCAGGAACTCACCGTTGCCTTCCATCCATTCCTTAGCCAGAATGGGATATAAACACTGTTTCTCCAAATCTTACCGAAGTTGAGGTCTTGATTAACTGGCCAGACTGCCGAGGCTAATAAGAATTAGCAAATAAAGATGGGTATTACGATGACTCAAAATCGTTCATAACAATGACATTATATATACTGTCTGTTACATTTGAGATCCTGAGATCCTTAGCAATATTCACTTTCTTATTCCCTTTCATTTACATCTTGCATTATAGTTTTATTCTTTATTTCCCTCAATTTTATCTATGCTTCTATAGTGTATCAACTTGGAATGCGTCAGTTTATGCAAAGTTTCGCAGTGTTTCATCGGTCTGCCCCACATTTGCTTGCGAATTATGGTTAGCTATTTACATCACTGAACATAGTGACAAAATGTCGGTTTCTCTGAATGCTTTATTTAAGAATTCTGAATTCCTACGTTAGTTCTTAGAGAAGTCATATATTAACGCTTGGAATAAACTGTGTATTTATGCTTAGCGTTGAATATAAAATTGACCTACACCATTTTATGTGAAAAGTTGTGATTCGTTTACTGTTGGCTTGGACATGGAATCTAATACGCTCCTTTCACTCTTTTAAGGAATCATACGCTAGATGAATCTCTATTCCAGTTGGTAATGTCCGGGGCGCAGACTTTAGAAATCAGTATGTCAACAAGGCCCGTTCATTCAGGTCAAGTACAGTCGATCAAGGGGAGATTCCAGACATTTTCAATAAAGCACATCTAATTCCTGTTGCATAAAAGATGACTCTCGTGACTAAGCAGAGTAGTACATAATGCTTTAGTGTAGGTGTTGGGTTTCAATCTTGTTTGGAACACCAATAAGAAACATGCACATACAGTCGAGGAGTGTCAAGCAGTATGAGAAGCGTTTCCAAGAATACAGTTTTGGCTACCATCATCAAAATGATATCAAGATTATATATGGCCTACCCATAGAATGATATGCCTAGGAATAGATAATAACAGCTTTGTGTATTCAAGGGCAAACATTAACGAGTAGGTCAGCCAGTAATGCAAATTTCCATTCAATATCTCAGTCAGTTAGTTGCACATCTTCTAAAACACAAAAGGACTGAGCGAAGAAATATTTACTTTCCAATTAGATCCTCATCTGTAGCTCTACTCTATTAGTGAGGATTTAAATGAAAAGTAAGTATTTATTCGCTGTCTTCTTTTCTTCTAAATTTCTAAATGACGATTGTTTTCATACTGTACATCTTTGCCGATTTTTAGTCTGCTGAAATTGAAAACCTGAAGATGAAAAGTATAATTCTAACACAAGAGCGTAGAAAATTAAAAGCACTCCTAAGAACTAGGTCTGGAAAATCGAACGCCCTGCAAGAAGTTGAAATACAAGAAGGCAAGATATTATGCAATGAAGCCTTGGAGAAGATAGCTGAGTTAAATCAGAAAATCTATAAACTGAAGTCATTGGCGATTAAAGCACAAAAAGCCTGCAATGCTTGTAAAGTAATTCAGCATAAATTATTAGTTTGGTGTGTTTACCGATCCCTCTACTTTTTTCCTCTCATCTAAAGCTTGCTTTCAGACATTTTAGCCACCTGTGTCCGATCATCTTATGTGGTTATTTTTCGAAACAGTCACTTGAGAACTCAGATGAACACAGAAATGTGGCTCCCATTGTAAGGAGCAACGTTGTGTGCTATATAGTTCACAAAATATTAATGTATTGCGTGAGCACTGAAATTTACATTAATTCTCACGTTAAACACTGTATGAGGATGAGAACGTTTCCTTCCTGAACTTCATCACAGAATAATTTTATTTCACAAAACACACTGATATAGTACTATTTGTTTACCCATGATATTTTGTGCATAATTTATTGTTCTTAATCATATCAAGGCATTCACATAACTTTCAAACTCTGTTTAGATAATTCCATTATTTCTAATCGCTTAATTTAATTGGTAACAATATCCTCCATATTCCTGGTATTGGTGCTGCACCATTCCAAATGCACATATTAAATGCAGATTCGATGAACAAAGATACAGTAATCAACCTCTCCCTTAACATGTCTATATTACGTTTTAAAACTGAAACTGTTAATCTCCCTATTGTTTGTTAATGCATGCATTCCGATTTTTGAGATATTCTTTGCACTATTCATCTTTCTGGAGTCAGTCACTCTACACTTGGCCAAGTTCCGATACATGAGCTAGCAAACAATCACACAATGAAGGGAAACAGAGATGCAGCTCTAAGATGAGATTAAGGGGAAGTTTGATGACAGAAAGTTTAGTGATCGAATCTACGCCAATCGCTTACAATAGGAGTGAAGCAACATTGATATCAGAGATAACAAAAATAATATTAATAGAAAAAATGTGTAAAAAAATAGCGGAAGTGTATCAACAAAACTTGAAATTTGATACAAATATGGGAGGTAAATTGTACCTGAAACATCTTCAGCTAATAATACTGTATCACTGTTTCACTAAACAAAATTATTCTTTGGTGGAATTATACTCTGCCAGAGTGCCAGAATCATGTTCTCACACAAGTACGGTAGACTAAATATCAATTAGGGAGAAATATGCGCCAAGTGTAAATAAAATATGTGGAGTGAAGATCACGTCTTCAACAAACTATTGGACTGCTAACTCACTGACAAATGTGAAACAAATTTAGGGTGAGAAGGTCACGTTTTATCATCATCATTATTCACTACTGATATTCAATAGTTGGTGATGGCTGATTAATGTTCATGGTTAAAACATTTTTTTTCTTAGGCCTACTCGTATGGATATTAACAAAGCTGTAATAAAGTCACTTGAGGTGTATCATTAAAAATGGAGATCAGTGGCGTTCTTAAGCAATAAAACAAATGTTTTCAAGAGACTAATTCAAGTTAAACTCCTGTCAGTAGCCAGAAGGATGACTTCATTGTTTGAAGTTTACTCATCTCACATCATCAAACAAACGAAAAACTAGAAGTTTATCCACTAATTATTTAATCTGATTTACGTGATTAATGACACCGTTGTTCCCTAATGAGTCGTTTTATTCTATTAGGTTATCATTCTCTTATCTGATTTTCATGTTAGTTTCCACTTATATGTTGATGCTTTCGAAGCAAATTTTTCGTAATTAGATATTGTTAAATCTGAATAGTTGCCACTTAAATACATTTTGCTTAAAGGCCTAGGAAATCTCGGTGCTTCAGTAAACCGTTCCTCTACTAATTTCCACGGTGAGCTGGAGACCCCGCTCCAAGTCTGCCCACAGGCTTTCATCTCCTCTTCACATGACCTCCTCCAAGTCACCCTTGCACTGACGACCAACTCGCCGCTTCCTTTTCGGGTTCCAATCGAGCAATGGCTTGTCTAGTGATCTCACTTGACGGCGTGTTTCCTCAGAGTATGGCCAGCCAATCCATCTCCTTTTCTTCCTGCCTATTTGTTTCACAATCGGTTCCTGCTGAGTTGGTTCGCTCCCAGAGAACCCTGTTACTGATCTTTTCTGACCGGCCATTTGATCTTGGGTATTGAGCGAAGACAGCTGTCGATGAAGGTCTGTAGTTTGTTTGAGATGCTCTTTATGACGCGCTGGTCAAGTTTCTGATCCGTATAGTAAGTGGCACTGACTTTACATTGGAGTTGAAAATCCGGATGTTATTTTTGATGGTGAGTGCTGTTGACCTCCACACAGTCTTGAGAGTAGTGAAAGCTTGTCTTGCTTTTCCGATTCTGGGTTTGATATCTTCGTCAGTTCCACCTGTAGTTGAAACGATGCTTCCAGGTAGGTAGGTAGGTAAAGGAGGTTGTTTCTTTCAGGTTCCTCCCATTTATGCAGACTGATTGTTATCTGTTGTTGTTGCTGTTGTTGTTGGCTAGGAATCTTGATCACCTCTGTTTTATCTTTGTTCACCTGAAGTCCTACCTTGGATGCTTCTTCTGTCAACTTGTTGCTTTTCATCACTTGCATATCTTCCAGTTTGTGGGAAATCAGACATATATCATCGGCGAAGTCCAGATCCTCCAAGTCTTTTGTGTGAGTCCATTTTATGCCCGTTCCCTCGTTGGTTGCCGTTGTCTGTCGCATTATCCAATCAATTGCAATCAGGAAGATGATTGGTGATAGTAGACAGCCTTGTCTCACTCCCGTCCTCACTTTGAAGGCTTCCGTAAGTTTCCCGTTGTGGATTACTTGGCATGCAGCATTGTCGTATAACTGTTGGATGAGATGTATAATTGTCGATGGGACCCCGTAGTAGCGAAGTAGTTGCCAAATGACCTCTCGATCGACGCTGTCGAAGGCCTTTTCAAAGTCGATGAAGTTGAGATAGAGAGGTGACTGCCATTCCAAGCTTTGTTCAATGATGATCCGTAGTGTGGCGATTTGATCAATACATGATTTGTTTCTCCTGAATCCAGCTTGTTCCGGTCGAAGTTTTTCATCTAGGTTGGCGTGTTTGATTCTCTCCAGGATGATGCGGCTTAGTATCCTGCTTGGAATGGACAGAAGCATAATTCCACGCCAGTTTTTACATTGACTTAAGTCTCCTTTCTTTGGTAGTTTGAATAAGTATCCGTTCTTCCAATCCTCGGGTACTTTGCCCTCTTTCCACACCTTCTCCAGCAGTGGCGTCATCAAGTCCGCTGTTGTCTCTGGGTCTATTTTCAAAGCTTCTGCTGGGATTCCATCTGGTCCTGGTGCTTTCCCAGCTTTTAGCATCTTGATTGCATTCAGGACTTCTGATTTCGTCGGGGGGTCAATGTTCACTGGTAGTTCTGCTTCCGTTGTTGGTATTGTTGGGCGCGTTGTAGGTGGCGGACGATTTAGAAGTCTTTTGAAGTGTTCAGCCCAGTGTTTTCTTTGTTCCACCTCTTTGGTGATTGACTTTCCATTGTCGTCCTTTATTGGCTTAATCTGTGTCGAACGTTTGCCCGAAAGGTGCCTAGTTGTTTGGTAGAGTGTGGCGAGGTCTCCTTTGCCTGCAGCTTGTTCTGCTTCGTTTGCCATGGTTTCATAATATTTTCTTTTGTCTTCCCTGGCACTTTTTTTCACCCTTTTTTTCAGTGTATTGTAGCTTGCATTCAGCTCCTGTTTTTGTTGCTCGTCGGTGCACTGGATAATCTTTTGTTTCACTGTCCTTCTCTCTTCTATTAGTTTCCAAGTGTCCGTAGTGAGCCACTGTTTGTCCTGTCTCTTCTTTCTGCCTAGAATTTCTATGCAGGTTTGACTCCACACCGTTTTCAAGTTGTTCCAGTGCTTTTCAACGCTGACCTTTTCGCTGGTGTTGATTTGTGTCTCGGCTTTGTCCTTTATGCTTGCAATGAAGATGTCCTTTGTAGCCTGGTCCTTCAGCTTTTGAGTGTTGAACTTGGCTTGTGGTCTATCTGCAGCTCCTGATTCCCTGAAAGCTTTTAATTTGATTTGGATTGTCCCTTGTACGAGATAGTGGTCTGAGCCAACGTCTGCTCCTCTTCTTGCTTTTGTGTCCAGTAGGCTGCGCCTCCACTTCCTTGAGATTGAGATGAAGTCGATTTGGTTTTTGGTTTGCCCGTCTGGTGACACCCATGTAGCCTTGTGGATATCTTTGTGCTTGTATACACTGCCACCAATCACTAGTTCGTTGAAGGCGCAGAAGTCGGCGAAGAGTTCTCCGTTTTCATTCATTTCTCCTAGAGCTTCTCTACCCATGATGAGTTCCCTTCCTGTGTTGTCTGGTCCCAGTTTGGCGTTCATGTCGCCAGCTGGAGTATTGTCCATTGTTGCCTGTAGTTGCCTGTAGAATTCTTCTTTCTTTTCGAGGTCTGCGTTGTTTGTGGGTGCATAACATTGTATGATTGACACTTTCCTTCCTTTGGAGTTGAATCTGGCGGTCATTATCCTGGACGAAATCGCCTCCCATTGTATCAGGGCTTTCGTTGCCGTTGGTGACATCATGATAGCCACGCCCTCGGTGTGCGTGTGGTTATCTTCTGGGTGACCGGAGTAGATCACTGACTCATCCGTTGACAATTTGGTGAGTCCACTCCCATTCCATCTGCTCTCACATATTCCCAGTACTTGGATTCCGTATCTTTTCATCTCGTTAGCGATCTGGGCAGCTTCGCCGGTCTCGTACATAGTGCCTTGTATTTGTCTATTTGTATCTTAATTTATCACTTTGTCTGGGTGCATTTTTCGTATTACCTCAACAACTTAAATATACATATTTTTGAAATGGTAACGGGTTTTGGAATAGGATTTTGAAGCACAGGGTACACATCAATGGCCATCGTTTATTCAGATATCTTATGCTAAGTGGAATGCAGTGTTGTTGAGAACAAACACATCTGTCATTTTGTGAAGACCAAAATGAGCCAGTTTTGTTCGTTTGATTCAGTTGTATTCTTACTTTCCATACCAAGAAACGCTTCTGCATCTAATCGTCAGAGGTGTTAAAGTGTTGCGTAACTTACTGACTGGACTCAGTAAGAACTGTAACTAAATACAGATTCGCACCTATAAGTGGCAATTCTGCTGACATGGAGTTTTGGAAAAAGCATTCAGAATACCAGTCAAAGCCTTCTAAAAAAAATAACTCACTACTGTTTGAAAAGAAAAATATGGCAAGGTGATATCATCTAGTAACTTTCATTATTATCAAGTATGCTAGCTGTGAAACGACCCCAGGAAAACTACGAAATTATATCATCTCACAATATTTGTCTTCTTAATGCCTTACCTATATGTACCAAAGGTTCTAATTGTTCCAACTTTCTTGTTCAGTCTGAAAAAATATTCTTTTCACAAAATTTTGTCGGAAAACTTGTGACCAGCCAAATGCAGTGAAACTTTCTCCCCCAAAAGTCAAGTCAAAAAAAAATGATTACTGCAACTCAAAACATATCAAGAATACTGTTCATTAGGGGATGGATCATATTCATTGTATGAGACGTAACCATACTATCGATGTGTTATGTCAATTTTAAGTATTGGACTCTCAATCAGCTAATACAATGGCCGTGATTAAAAACCACAAACCAATAAGTTATGTTATATAATGTGGTAACATTATTCGGAGACTTGTTCACCAGATGAAAATTTCATTTTCTGATTAGTTGTGCTTGAAGTAAGAGGAATAAGGAGTAATAAATCTTTGCAGTTTTTCATATAATTTCTGAGTTTTTTTCCTTTCAAATAATTTCATGCAATCCTCAAAAAGATTAATGTTTGTATCTCTAAGCACTTTTTTCAAATAGTCAGTCCACTTATCTGCCTCTTAACTTTTAGCTGCAACTGTCTGCTAGCACTGAAAAAGGTGACCGTTTAGCGAAGGAGACAAAGCAACGAATTGACCTTTGTGCATTATTAAAGACAACGAAAAAGGAGGCTCATAAGGTAGGTTAAATAAGAAGCAATATTGGGTACATTTCGACATTAATAAATAGCCTTTTCATCCCTTTTCCATAACAGCCTGATATGTTCCAGCTTACTCACTGAGAATTGTACGAAGTGAGTACTTAATATGTGCCACTTTTTAAGTCACGTTATTAATTTTCTCAACTGATTCACTGAATGTGGACAAAATGGGTTGATTCAGCAAAAATTTTGCTTACAAACAATACTTTTTTCGAGTGTGACACATATTGTGACACCAAAATTTCTCAAATTATATTAAACATGAGGAGTTTAATTCAGCCTGCAAACATCCATCAGTTCCCGATTTCGGGTTATGGAAGTGCATGCAGGCCGGAAGCGTTAATTCATGATGGTGGAAGGCAGTCACTTTGTATTGTGAAGTGAAAGAAGTGACTGAGTGATGAGGTGCTTATTGTAAAGCACGTTAGGTACGTGTTCTGTCCATACACATATGCACACACACTTCTTAACTGCTACAAAGTGGCACGAAATACATGCTCAGTTTTCCATTGTTTACACTAGTTTAGCTCGTGATGTGGATTAACAAGAAATCCTATAACTGTTTTCGAAAGATACTAAAACAACACTTATTTATTATTATTTCCTTTAATTCCCAAAAGAACGTAGGGCTTCAGCTGCGCGTCTCCATTGCCTTCTGTTTCCTGCCAACTTTTCCACTCCGCTCCAAGTCTGCCCACAGGCTTTCATCTCCTCTTCACATGACCTCCTCCAAGTCACCCTTGCACTGACGACCAACTCGCCGCTTCCTTTTCGGGTTCCAATCGAGCAATGGCTTGTCTAGTGATCTCACTTGACGGCGTGTTTCCTCAGAGTATGGCCAGCCAATCCATCTCCTTTTCTTCCTGCCTATTTGTTTCACAATCGGTTCCTGCTGAGTTGGTTCGCTCCCAGAGAACCCTGTTACTGATCTTTTCTGACCGGCCATTTGATCTTGGGTATTGAGCGAAGACAGCTGTCGATGAAGGTCTGTAGTTTGTTTGAGATGCTCTTTATGACGCGCTGGTCAAGTTTCTGATCCGTATAGTAAGTGGCACTGACTTTACATTGGAGTTGAAAATCCGGATGTTATTTTTGATGGTGAGTGCTGTTGACCTCCACACAGTCTTGAGAGTAGTGAAAGCTTGTCTTGCTTTTCCGATTCTGGGTTTGATATCTTCGTCAGTTCCACCTGTAGTTGAAACGATGCTTCCGAGGTAGGTAGGTAGGTAAAGGAGGTTGTTTCTTTCAGGTTCCTCCCATTTATGCAGACTGATTGTTATCTGTTGTTGTTGCTGTTGTTGTTGGCTAGGAATCTTGATCACCTCTGTTTTATCTTTGTTCACCTGAAGTCCTACCTTCTCTGGATGCTTCTTCTGTCAACTTGTTGCTTTTCATCACTTGCATATCTTCCAGTTTGTGGGAAATCAGACATATATCATCGGCGAAGTCCAGATCCTCCAAGTCTCTTTTTGTGTGAGTCCATTTTATGCCCGTTCCCTCGTTGGTTGCCGTTGTCTGTCGCATTATCCAATCTACTGCAATCAAGAAAAGTGATTGGTGATAGTAGACAGCCTTGTCTCACTCCCGTCCTCACTTTGAAGGCTTCCGTAAGTTTCCCGTCGTGGATTACTTGGCATGCAGCATTGTCGTATAACTGTTGGATGAGATGTAAAATTGTCGATGGGACCCCGTAGTAGCGAAGTAGTTGCCATACACTTGCTTAGCTTATATTAATAAGTGAATATCTATACCCGTTATTTTCATGGATAAGAACAAACTGAGAAGAAAAACGTGATACTTAAAAATTCAGGCATTTTTTCCTTTCCCCTATATCTTTCTTCCCTCTGTGCTCCGGAATCCATCTTTTGACATTTTTCAGTTCAGCAAAATTAAATTATGCCCAAAATCTCCATCGGTACACTAGCAGTGCTTAAGTCAAACTGTTTCTCTGAGTGAAAAAGTTTGCGTCGCTATAATGACACTATCGTTATTAGCATGTGAAATACCTGTTTTATAGGGAGGAATATTTTCACATTCAGCAGATAAGATCACAACATGTAATCATCTTGTACTGTTTGTAGCTAACTCTTCTTATTTTTGATTAGGCGGAAAATTGCTTATTGAGCATATTTCTGTGTCAGTGCTTTCAAATAAAAGGCCGACGGTATGATGACGAAAATAAGTTTGTGGATTAGTGTTGTACTGGTTTAAATTTTTTTATTTGTAAGATTTTGAAGGCCATAATACCCAGAAACGGCGTTGGTGGCACAGCGGTTAGGACGCTCGCCGACCATGCATATGGTCCGGGTTTCGATCCCCGGCCGACGCACTCCCTTACCTCGCTAAGCCAGAAAAAATGCTGGTAAAGAGGAAAGGTTGGTCATGAGGCTAGCAACCCCATCGTGTAAAAATAAACACTGCTACATAAACTTCAAGCCTCTAGCTTGAAGCCCACTACACCAATGAGAATGTGAAGGAAAAACAATTTATATTTTTGGTGTGAAATGTCGCTCAGTAGTAAATTTGTAGTTAACGACAACAGGTATTTACTATCATTTAATATTTATATAATAAACGTATTCTGTGATGTACAAATCTTAGTATCTGCACTGAAAGTACAAAGAAGCTGACTACAGAAGTCATTTCTGAACTTTCGTACTTTTAACACTAATCCTTTTGACAAATATTACTGTTTATCACTACTTATGACGGGAAATACTAAAACCACCATATTTTGGCGCAGTAATTTCTTCTGTAAATTTTTGTGTTGTCTACTTTCCTGCTTTGGATGGTTTGATTATCCTTCTGGACATCATCTTACGCGCTAACTTTAAAAGGAATATTCTTTCAAATCATGGAGAACACCCATGAAGACATTAGAGTTAAAAGAACAAGAAGTTCAGCAAGGATATCTTTTCGGCGATTTTATTTTCAAAAGCTATACAATCGCATTAATATGCATAAGTTTACATAGTTATAATCATTATTTCATTCGACAGAATTATGCAGATGGTCAAAAGTGATAGTAATTCTCAACCTAACATGAAAGTTTGAAGGTGTGCATGTGGATTTCAAGGGGCTTAGAAACAAAATACACAGGATTAGAAAGTGATTTTTAACGAACAAACTTGTGAATGGGATGACCATGGAAACAAATTGAAATAATAATATTGTATAACTGAAAATGAAAAAAGAAAAGGAACAGAAATGACGGGTATGAGAAAACAAACTGAATCCATGGTTAATGTAGGGGGGGGGGTGAAGTAGTTGCTTTTGAACACACAGCTCCGGATTTTCTATGTGGATGGAAAAGTGTTGTAATTATTTGTAATCGTAGCCTTAGTATTTCGAGATGACCGAATTACAAGAATGCAACCAAAAGACAGAGAGGGCGGAATTCAGGAATTTGTATTTAGCGGAATTGTTATTCAATTCATATAAGAAATATATTAACAATCAACAGTAAGTATTTAAACAATACAGAGATAGAAATTGTCAATCACCACAAAAAGCCTTCTGAAGTAGGAAGAAGTCGGAAACACAATGCCTCTGGAAGATTTTTGTTTACTTTGTAAATGATTCTGCATGATAAGTCAGTTGAAGTACTGTGACAGGTGTTGGTGACGTGTTCAGTTATGGCGCTTCTGATTCACCTACTGCCTCCACTTTGTAGTCATTCTAGGTATTGTTTTCTAACACGTTTTGATAGAACCCACAGAGAACAATCTATGTACCTAGCCCCATATAAGCAGGTGAACTGATATATGCACATATGTGGAAGTTTGTCCTGCTTTTGAGAATGACATTGCCGAAAATATATCATTGCTGAACCTCATGTTCTTTTATCTCTTATGAATATACTTTATGAATCATTTCATCGAGAAAAAAAATATAAAGGCTACTGGTATTAATGTTTATATTTTGACTCATCCAGTTGGAATGTCTTGTTGTTTCTAATTACCAGTAGTGTAAATGAGAAAAAAGTCTAGCTCAGTTGCTGTAGTCAAAATTCCTACAGATATCAATCAACATGCTAATTTACCTTTCCAGAATAGATCATGTCATCCTGGAATAGCATTCTGACTGAATCATGAGTGAATGAAGTGAGGTGTAATAACATTTCTTCACGGAAATATGGTGGATTCTTTTCATTCAAGCTCTTGTAAGGTGTAGATTTATGACGTTCATACAAGAATATTTTTTGGAAGCACATATGCCAAAAAGTTATCGTAGAAGAACTTCAAAGTAAAATAATGTTATTATCACTATTATTATTGAAGTTTTAACCAGAAATTCACTGTCTGTCACAACTATAATTCAAGCGACTAAGCAGAAACGTCGTGGAAGTGGCACCTATTTTTCAATAAGTAGATCTTACCTAACTAATTTGGTTTATGGTGTTACCAGTTCATTCTAGTAGCTAGCCAGAAATTCGGTGTTTGGAGAAGATTCGGCATTCTGTGCTGAGTCAAACCATGTACATCGCTGATGAGCTAGGCCTCGAGACGGCGAAACCCCCGTCCGGTTTTTAGGTCCCCTCGACCTGGCTAGCAAGCATTCCTTGTTGATTTAGTAGCACAGAGCCCCTCATCTCAAGCAAGCAGTAGCATATAGTTTTATGAAAACCTCACATTGACCTTTCGTGGAGACTTTTGTCTGAATACACCTGATTTAAATGAAATCAGTTTAAGCACTTATTTTCTGATAGGCTCCGTGTGTCTTATTCTCTGTGCACTTTTTTATTTTCACAGAAAGTCAACGATGAAATGAATATGCACGCTGAGGTGCTCAATGCAGCCGAGATTTATCGCGTGCCTACAGTGTCAGATTTTATTGATAGTGTTTTAGAGCGTAAGATATTGGATAGGAAAATAAAAATGCAAAATCGTAAACTGAGCTTAGCCAAGGTAAATTTTTACTGTGAGTATTTAAGTTGTTTAAATCATTTCTAAGTAGTCAGTGTTTTATAATATTTGCAAACTCAACCACTTATTCTTAATACGTAAAAAGAATTACATGAATTCTATTGCTCCAAGTTGTCGTCCATGTATCTGAATCTTTTCTTTATGCTTGAAATGTTAATTTTAAATGTCGTTTGCCTTTTTAATCTTCTTTTTGTTGTTTGTAGCAGTCATGATACACAAATGGTATATCTTCAACACTGCCTTTGAATAATGAGACGTATATGAAGCCTTGGGAGTTCCGCTATATGAATGGCTGAGCTATTCGTCTTTTGGCTAAGCTCTAAAGAGTAACATTCTGTTAAGTTATTTAGTTACACCATTTCCTTATCATCCAAACATACATTGAATGAAAATAATCGTTGGCTAGGTGAAAAATCCTTGAATTTCAATGGTACTCAAGTGATACAGAAATCGTACTCCCCACCATATAATTAACTTGATAATAAAAATAATAAGTTGTATCAGAAACAGTAATGCGGAAGGCTGACTAAGAAGCGGAAGAAGTAGTAGCAGTATTTGAAGCAACAATACTACTTCGTCTAGTACTTTTATCATATTAAAAAATAGCTGTCGTTTCTGAAAGCCTTGCATTGCCTTAATTCCTGCATTACTATATTTAGTACTGCTTTGAATTTAACAGGGTAAGGAATACAAAATTAGGCGGGACAAGGAACTAAATAGTGTCAGAAGAATGATATATATATATATATATATATCAGTTGATTCACTCGCTTAGCCTGAAGCTCAACCAAGACACCCTAAACATTATTGATCTATTAGTTCATCAACATGTATGTATTTTTATGAAGTTGTTGGTGGCCTCTTGAGTTTGTCTGACCGAGTATCTCAGAATACAGCCCTTAACTGCCAAAACTATTGTGCTTGTGTTGGATGCTCACAAACAGCATAACTTGGAAATATCTCTGATATGCTTTTTGTCCTACAGAAATTAGCGACGATCACTCGGCAAAAACGTTGTCACTGTTTCATTCCCGGTTTTCCCCCTTTTTAATCAGATTATGCTTGGTGAACACAAAAGAGTCTGGTCGAAACTGAAGCAAGACAATCTAGCATAACTGGAAAGTGAGTTTTGTTTATGTTTTTCACTAATTTAGCTTTTTATTTCAAAAATATGCAATAACCAGCAGAAAACCCACATTAACTAATTCATGATGATGAATTCATCATATGCAAATGTAAGTTAGTGAGCAAGGTACCCCGTTCAACTTGAATTCCATACTGACTGTTAGCCATCAACTTTAAATCGCAGTTTAAACGGCCAACTAACAAAACTTATATTTCTTGTGATGTTTAAACTCATTTTACCCATGTTGGAGAGGAGCCACTGAACCACTCAGCTATCGTGGCTGATAAATCCCCTATAAGATAATATTATGAATATAGTTTATTCAGTGATTGATAATTCATGAGGCTTACTGAGGCTCACAATTGTTATATTCGTTACTAATCTGTTGAGTACTACAAACGTTTTCACTCTATGATATACCTGCCACATGCAAAAGAAACCAGGGTGTCTAGTATAATAATCATGCGAAAAATTCCCTCAATTTAAGTTGCTATACTTCCCAGCGTACAAATATATGTATAAGCGCCATTATTCAGTTAATGGAAAAAATTATTAGTTCAGCTGTCACGACAGTCATTTAACATCGAAAAATTTAGTGACTTTTGTTTTATTTTTATGAGTTTGATATCACTCGGAGAACCATTGAAAACCAGGGAGTACTGTACAGCTGTTTTCTCATAGTTTGGGAATCATCGTCAGTATGCACCCACTGGAGTCCGAACCCAGCACCTTCCGGTTACGAGGCAAGATCAAATACCGTTCAACTACTGAGATTCACCCGATTCAGTGGCCAGTGCATGAATTCTAACTTCTACCAATTCGTGATTTAGCGCGACCCCAACCAATGTCGTAGGTGGGACATCAATCCTCACACTTGACTGGTTGGACCTTGCTGGTTACGACTTCTCATTGGTTGGTGATCGCGATAAATCACAAATTGGTAGAAGTTAGAATTCATGCAATGGCCATTGAATCGGATTCCAGTGTCTGCATGGTATGCGAGTTTGCCTTGTAACCGGAAGGTTCTGAGTTCGAACTCCAGTGGGTGCGTGATAACCATTATTCCCAAACTAGGAAAAAACAGCTGTCCAGTACTCCCTGGTTTTCAATGGTTCTCTAAGTGATATCAGTCCGTGGTCAAACTCTTAGAAAAAAATAATCCTTAAAAACCAACTGTTGAAAACCTTTCTTTTAGTTTTTCTGATCACATGCTTCTGAAAACAAATACATTTGTCTTGTATATGCCTTGTATAAATCACCTACACTGATTATTCAGTTCGGTTGACAGGACTTTTAAAATACAGAAAACTTAGCTCCAACCTAGACGCTGAATCGTAGTCTGTTCTATGCTTTACTGAAAACTAGCCCACTTGAGAAGCCATACAGTTCGTATTGATTTGATTTGATCTGTGAAAGGAAATAGCTATTCTATGGTAGTAAACAACAGCACAAATTGATATTATGCTTTGAAACCTTTTGCATCTGGATACCTCAGAAAGAATTAGAAACTACTGAAGGCTTCTCGAGGACAATCAGTGATTTCATAAATATCACTTGCATTGACATCTTGTCAGCCGATTGATTAAGACAATGAAGTCAGTGCAAATACCACTTTATAAAAAGATGAAAGCAAAACCAATGTCACTTATGTCTATGTTGATAAAGCAGCATAGTGTATATAAGTGTGAGTATGCCGCCTTCATGATCAATCTTCTGTTGTTGTCGTGATACAAAATAACTCTAATGGGAGCATAAAAGCTCTTATTAAAAGTCTTTATTTGATGAATAGTCTTTTTTAAAATTTCACTGGGAGCTTCACACCATAAAGTTGTATACTGTCTATAATATTTTATAAAAATGCAACTGATACTTCAAAGTGAACTCGTAAAACAAAATTAATTGCTTTTATCTCCTTTTTCACATTTCAGAATGTAATAATTTTTATTTTATACAAAAAAAAGTCAACTAACCAAAAATCAGATAGACAAACAGTTAAAGCAATTCAGACTTATATGAAGTTAGAGTACATTCATTGCACTACACGCCAACTTTATTTTCGTTTGTTTTAATTAACGCATATATCCCTGATGATAGAAAAGTAATAAAAGAAGGAATAGAAGGAGTAGAAGTATGCGAATCTAGTGTACAATTGTAACTGAATATTGGTAGATGAAAATACTGACCATTTATTCTGGCTAACTTCTGTGATCATCTGAACCCCCCCCCCCACCACCACCACCACCACCACCACTCCCACAGTGTGAATAATGAAAGTGACATTAACTTTGAAATTTGTTACCTTTTTTACTTAATTTATTGACTTTATTCAAAAAGTGAAGAGAGACAGTCGTTTTTTTTCTCTTTACTATTTGGTAAACTGACTTTTTCTGTACTAACTGCATCATGACTGAGTTTACCTTTTGTTTGGCTTTCATGTTAACTCATTTTTGTTTATAAACGAGAGAGGTACTCGAGTTTTCGACAGGATTTTTCATCTCTCTGTTTGTCTAAAGATTTAGATGAATTTGATATTTGATTTTTTTTATTCATCTGTTTGATTGTGCAGCCTTCACAGTTGGTTACTAACCCGATTATAATGTTTATTCACACACACAAACACACACACACAGGTAAATACATGCATAAATTGTGGAAGTAGACAAGCACACACCGTAGCAATAAATTAAGTGTGATCTTTAGTATGAAATCTCTCTGGTGGTGGGGGGAAAGGCGAAAGGAACATCAAAACCTTTTGTTATTTCTTCGTGTGTATATGTGTGTGTGTGTGCAAAATCAACTACAACTCTTCAACGAAAACTAAGAACAACAAAAATGTATCTTGTTGACATGTCTGAGACAAACAAATATTATAGCCTACTCTACTAATGTATCAGTAACTTGACGGAGATTCAGTAATTTGACGGAAGACCAGAACAAATTAAAAAAATCAGGTCAAAAAATCAACAAAGATGACAATTACAATAACAACAAAGATTATAAAGAATCTCTCTGTTGTATACTGTGTACTCAGTAAAAACTATACTGCATTGCAAACTGATAGAAAGCAATTTTCTATCTCTGTTAATTATTGATCAAAGATCGAATCAAGCTTTGATCAGAAACCTTTGAACAGAATAAAAATTACTGGCATTTAATACCATACTTTTCTTTTAGAAACACATTCCCCTTTTATGTTATGTTAGTTCTCTCACTGGTCACCTACTCGACAGACCTCGATTGAATATGGTGCACAGTAATAAGAAGCGGTTAACTTAAAATGTAAGAATCTTAGTTTGTAGTTGTTATAGAACATTACCAGTTGTTTCGTATGAGACCGTCAAACTTAGTTACTACAGTTAACCATAATGTCAAACTACTTGGATAAGTGAACACAGTTTGGAGTTTTTCTTTTCAACGAAGTCTTTGTAACGCTGAAAGCACTACAGTGCAGTTATCTAGAACGAAGAGGATTTCAAGTGGATATGTTGTACTGTCTTAGCAATTTTAGGCATGAATTCAGCAGAATTGACATTATTATTTAAAATAAAGCTTTCATGAAATCATGATCAGTAGGTTCAATATCAGTTAAGAATTAATAGACTGAGTGAGTATTTTATCTAGATTCACGTTTAAACTGTCGAGTTCACCACCTGTTTATTATTACACACCATACCACTGTGTCTTATACAAGAGGAGTAGTATTTACTAAATCCAGTTACCGGCCACTTTTATCGCTGGATAAATAGAGCTGTCACGATGTTCTTTGGAAAAGCGTATACACCAGACTGGTTTTAAAGATTATGTCAGATAACTCAGTCATCATGTAAAAAGCTGACTTCATTCACAAAGAGAAATATTTGATGATATTAGATGGTTGTAGGCAATCGGCAGGAAGCCTTGGACCTAGGTTTCGTGCTAGTTGGCATTCGTCAGCAAGGCGTATCTATAACCTTGAAGGAACTCATGTCCCTTGTGAGATTCGAACCCACGTCACCCAGTGCTGAAGTCAGAGACGTTACCACTGTGCTATTCGGGCTCGCTGAATTCTATCAATCAGGTAGACTAATAGAATTCAGCCTGCACCAATGTAGAGAAGTATTTGTTGAGCCTGAAAATATATATAAGGTGTATTAGTACACAATCACCTATGTCTTCATTTCTTCTAGTGTCACTTATTGATTAAGAAACAATAATACATCAAGTATGCGGTTAACACATTTAACAGCCTTTCGACCCACAGATTGAAACTAACCACACAAACGCTGTAACAATCAAATTAAGCACATTTATATAAACATTGTTGTAGGTACAGTCTGTGATTATTATTAATATTATTATTATTTCCACTGTTGTTGTTACTATTATTATTTCAGTTAATACAACATTTAAGTAACTTTTTTGAATTAGATAAATATAGTGTGAATAGAATATTGTAGCCTTCACTTACCAAAAGTTGAACACTATGCTAGATGTGAAACAACATTTTCACTTGTACACATGGAAATGTTATACGCATAGTGTTTTAACATGAATATTTACAGTTTACGTGACATTTATATACTGTGCGTTGTCGACATGTTGTTTCAGTTCTCGTAAATACCTATATATATATATATATATATATATATATTTCGACACTGGTGATAGCAGTGTTAGAAGCGCTCTTGTCGATTAGGATAGGAATATAAATCTGTGTGTCGTATGATATGGAGTATGCTGAAAAATATCTTTCAGACGACTCCAATGTTGGATATGAGTTAAAAGAAGTTCCTGTTGCAAGAATAGAAACAGCAACGATCGCAACCACAAATACAACAACTACTAATACCACTGCGTCAATTAATTCTAATCGTGTCATTTTAAATCCAACAAATAATCTTGCTGGTTTAAGTGAAGCAATTGTTGACATTGAACATGTTTTATACAAAAACTGTATTGAACTTAATCAGCATGAGGAAAAGTTAGTTGCATTGTTGGAAAGATCAGAAGCTATGGAAAAGAGCGTAAGTAATATATATATTGTGAATTTTTTTTAATTTTCTGTAAATGTATGTTATTTTGTGGAAGAATTAGACGTGTATGTGAGGACAAATACTCGCCGATGTCATTGACTATTGGTCGCGCTATATCGTGAATTGACAGAAGTTGAAATTAATGGACCACTGGGTCGGGTTCCACTAGACTAAATACAACCGGAAGGTCCTGGTTTTGAAACTCGGTGGGTGCATACTGGTGAGGACGAGACAGCTGTCCAGTTCTTCCATGTTTGCCAATGGTTCTTTAACCATTGTTAATTCATGATGAAATCCTGTGACATATCAAATCAAATCCCCGCAAACCAACACATGGAAATTAAAGGTACCTTAGTATTCAAGGAATAGTGTTTTAATGTACCTATGTGGATACACACACAAGTACAAGTGTTCTAATCATGAAGTTAATGAGTAATGCTCAGAAAGAAATATCTTTTTTTTTCTGTTTAAGTTTTATCAGTTGATCACGTCACTGTTTGATTTCTGTGGTACGCATGTCACACAGGCGAATCCTATGTTAACTCGACTTATTGATCCTTGCTACAGTAACATTTATTCACCTACCTAAGGGATATCAGTTCATGGTAAAAGCTAACTATTAATTTGATAGTATAACTACATACAGAATAAACGCAGAATCGTGAGTGTCCTAGTAATCCTTATCTAATTGTCCCTTCTTCGTTTATGCACACCTTCATATTTAAGTCAGTACCTGGATTTCTTCGGTTCACCCTTTCTGTGTAAAATGGGGACACCTGATCTACGCATTTTTATTTCTTGAGTCCTAAACTCTTGAAATAACATGTTTAGATCAACATTTTAGCATTAACAGATGTCATATGTACGTGGAAAATAATCTGAACCATTTCTACTGTTACTGTGAATATTAGTGGGTAATCAATTTTAAAAAAGAATGCTAAGTATCAGTTTATTCCAAAATGGATGTGTATTCCGTCCTATTTAAGACTCAACACTTATAGGCACCTATTCTTCCACTGAGTTATGGAACCCAGACTAAGTTTAGAATTCAACATCCACTAATTTAATGGTCAAAGTGTTATTCACTAGGTCAATGGCTTACTACGTCAACGGGTATCAGTTGTTGTACATCCTGGATTCCACTGTTGCTCAGTATCCACGAGATCACATCATCGAGTCATGCGTAATAAGATCGAACACAGGTTACGTATTTTAGTCTGATATAAATCAGTCAACAGGAAATACAAAAATTAACTTAAACAAGTTTAACCGTTTGTTTTGAGGCTAACTGTTTGAAATAAGTTGATGAAGTCAATATCAGGAATTACGTCAAACGCTTTGAATGAAGCCGTTTGAATAATAGTATGAAATCATTGCACGTAAATACACATTTGCATGAAAATCATCAGCTTGCACTAAAATTTATGCAAAATAACTTTTAACCTTGAAGAGGAGCAATTTTTCTGAATCTATCAAACATAAACACCTACCACTCTAATGAATTTCCAAAAGGATTCAAATCCATCTGTACCCCTGAGACAACCACTATAAGCAATACTACAATAGATAACAACGTATAGTCACGGATAAATTACACAGCAATCGGTTAACTCATAATGCATACTGACTCTTTTATTATAACCACTGAAAAGAGACAGATAATTTTATTTGGGACTTCTGGATATCGTCAGAATAAAGAATCATACCATAGACAGTACGTGTGTGTGTGTGTCTCGATTCATTTTTGTACCCTTAGGAATATGAACTGCTGGTCTTTGTAAACCAGACTGGCGTAATATTCTCACGCGAGTTTCAATTAACTTTTATAGTATTATTTTCAGTACTTTGGAATGTTAATATTGTACTATGAAATGCACCTTTTTGGTGATAAATTTAAATCAATCTTCGACATATACTCCGATTCCGCACGACTAACAGAATCTATAATTGCAACCAGTATTGTTTTTGCAGCTAAAACGGATGCTGAAGAATATTGGAAAGTCGGCTATACGCAGTTAATGTTGAACAACTCAGCCGGTTGTATTTTTAAATTCAGCTGGTACAAAATATTACCTACTGCATAAAATTATGAGCCATTTTCACATGATATATATAGATATATATTTAATCTGTATGTTGTCATAAGGTAGTAGGAGGCAATCGGCAGGAAGCCTTGGACCTAGTTTTTATGCTTATTGCCGCTCGTCAGCAGAGCGTATCTGCAGCCTTGGAGAAACTCATGCTCCTCCTGGGATTCGAACCCTACCCACCCAGTGCTGCAACCAGAGACGTTACCACTGAGATATTCGGGATCACGACTGAACTTCTGTAGGACTGTATTGGATACTTTGACTGGACCATGCACAGTGATTGTAAGCCACCTAGAATGATGGCCATATTGCAAATTCGACTGGTGGATTTCAGTCTGCACCAAACAGAGCACTGGACACATTGCACTAGTTACTAAGCAGTGTGTAAGAATAACTTGTTGATTAAGTGACCCTACATTACAATTCACCGTACTCTTTGCAACATACTAGGAATCGACACACAGAAAGTATCATCCCTACTTCATTTGTAGCTAGTGAGTTATTTGGTTTTATAAACATGTTTGAATTTCAGGAGAAGTATGAATATTTTCGGAGCTTTAGACACCATCACTAAACACTGCTTCTGACTGAATCACAGCTTTATTTCTACAGTAAACAGACTTCATCAACGAATACAGTAAAGTATCGAAAAGACTTCAATACTTTTAATTATGAGTTAACATTAAAAGCCAGTAAATGATAACACTTACCACCATTGTAGAAAACATTTATTTTCCGTAAACATTTACCGTAGCAATGGTATTTAGTTTCACCTCTTATCAATCCACTAGACCCACAGTTCCCTAGAATGGAAAACACCTTTCAGTTTACAGGGGACAAGAATAGAAGCCTGGATTTTCAACGTGACTGAAGACTTAAAAAGCCACCACTGACTAAAAATATAGGGGTCATTATATTTGTTACAAAAGACGAAAGCGTAACTGTTGCATGATAGTAGATTTTTAGGTGATGAAGCATATTAGAGTCATTCATTCCATGCGTTCTAACTGAGACATGCGGCTTCAGCGACGGATATTCACTTTCCATGATCCTATACCACCAGTTTCAGCTGGAGCCACAAGTATCCACAAATTTTAATCCATATCACACTTGAACTCACAAACCGTTGCTTCCAATTCAAGTATCACTAGAGGAATGGAATACGTTGTTTCGTGTATGTCGCTTAAGTGTTCTTATACTTTATCGCCATTTCCTTCTACATATTTGTTTGGTAATATGTTCTTAAGGAAAAACACAGTTGTTTTTGTTCAGCGAAGAAATATCTCTTTTCAACGACTTCTTTTTCAAGCTGTACAGTCGTATTTATATTACAGAAAAAGGTATTAAATAGCACTAGAAATTGCTCAGTCAATATACACATGATAAGAAAATTTATAATTACAATGATGTACTGATAGGGTAGATTTGAATTGGATTAGTTACAAAACTTATAATGATTATTTAATATGTGAACTGGTATAAAGATTTTTAAACTGTAGGTTAGGTGTTGTCTGAAAAATTAAGAGTATGATGGTGATAACAATAAAGACAGTGAAGGTGAAATGAAGTGGAATGAATTCAAGTCGTAAAATAGAATAAAATAAAAGAACACTATTATGGTCAAGGTAAAGAAGGGGGTTTGATAAAACGTTTTTGAATATATAATTTAGGTTTTTGCCCGTATATAGCTAGAGCTTTGGCTATGCATAAGAGGAAAAATGTAAGCTTTTGGAGTGATTGGAGTGGTTCTTTTTGTCCGTGAACACAGCATCCAAGACACCTTCTAGTCTTTTCTGGATAATGTGGCTTAATTGTCTGCTTGGAATGGAAAGAAGCACAATATCGCACCGGTTCTTGTATTGCCTTAAGTCGCTCCTAATTGAGAGTTTTATAAGACAGATATTCGTATGTACAACAGGTACTTTTCGACCAAAGAAACATTTCGAAGTGGTGGCATATGTTGTGGCTGAGGTCTGTGGGTCCATTGCCAGTACTTTTTGGCGAATTCCATTTGGTGCTGTTGCTTCCCCAAGGTTTCATTAATTTAATGAGATTCAAGATTATTCCTTTTGTAGAATGATTGACATTCTCAAATGTTATTATTATATACTTTAATTCCTAGAGGAACATAGGGCTTCAGCCACGCGTCTCCATTGCCTTCTGTTTCCTGCCAACTTTTCCACTCCGCTCCAAGTCTGCCCACAGGCTTTCATCTCCTCTTCACATGACCTCCTCCAAGTCACCCTTGCACTGACGACCAACTCGCCGCTTCCTTTTCGGGTTCCAATCGAGCAATGGCTTGTCTAGTGATCTCACTTGATGGGTTTCCTCAGACTATGGCCAGCCAATCCATCTCCTTTTCTTCCTGCCTATTTGTTTCACAATCGGTTCCTGCTGAGTTGGTTCACCCCCAGAGATCCCCGTTACTGATCTTTTCTCACCAGCCATCTGATCTTGAGTATTGAGCGAAGACAGCTGTTAATGAAGGTCTGTAGTTTGTTTGAGATGCTCTTTATGACGCACTGGCCAAGTTTCTGATCCGTATAGTAAGTGGCACTGACTTTACATTGGAGTTGAAAATCCGGATGTTATTTTTGATGGTGAGTGCTGTTGACCTCCACACAGTCTTGAGAGTAATGAAAGCTTGGCTTGCTTTTCCGATTCTGGCTTTGATATCTTCGTCAGTTCCGTCCGCTTGTAGTTGAAACGATGCTTCCGAGGTAGATAGGTAGGTAAAGGAGGTTGTTTCTTTCAGGTTCCTCCCATTTATGCTGGTTGATTGTTATCTGTTGTTGTTGCTGTTGCTGTTGGCCAGGAATCTTGATCACCTCTGTTTTATCTATGTTCACCTGAAGTCCTACCTCTCTTGATGCTTCTTCTGCCAACTTGTTGCTTTTCATC